TGTTTGGCGGGCTTCTGCCGTTTGTTTTGCCGTCGTGTATAGCATGCTGACATCTTCTGGATTATAAGAAAACAGAAGATAGTAATTGCCCATGGTCCAAGTGTCTGGTTGTATGGGGGACAATAAACAAACTGATACTCAAGGCGTCTCCAAAAACACTCCTGAGCACACTGTGGACTTGGAGGTCGCACCGTGTGATGGTTCGGAGACTGATTCAGACTGCGAACATAAATTTGTTTTTCCCTTGCGACACGAGCTCCCTCCGCATGACTACCTTCGGTTTATCCTAACGGTCTGGTACTCTCCTGAAACTAGCAGTTCTATCGCAGGTAAATATACTTTTCATTCGTGTCATATTGCAGACATGATGACGCGGGTGTACAGCGAAGCTCAGCTCAAAGTTCTCCTTACCAGTCCTATGGACGTGGTACTCATGAAGTCCCGCAAATTCTTTCTGGAACTTAATATATAAACTGACACTTCAGCTAAGAATGAATGTTGGCCGCTTCAGCCACTGTATAAACTGAGGCGGACAGTGTCGTCCCTTATTGCCTCACATCAACCACCGAATACTCGTATATGGTTGAATACCTCGCTGTACATTTACACATTTCCATGATTAATTTCTCCTGTCAAAGGCCCAACCAACAACATGATACTTCAGCCACCCGTCCTTAACGTCTGGTAATGCATGTTCTATCCTAGAGAAAATTCCTGCTACTCTTTCATATTCTATACCCGGTGAATATTTACTGGTTTTTAAGTTCCTTATCTCCATAATAAGGTATTCTGTCCGCTGGGGCTACCGTGCGCAGCGACAACTGTAATGTGACGGTCAACCATGAAATGGTTTTTCCAAAATACTGGTTGCGAGTCTGGCTGTAAACCTGTAGTTGACGCCTCCGGTGTGCTCGCATCACTAGGTCTGAGTTCATCTTTTGGATTAAGCTCTTCCATATTCCGCACGTTACAAGCGAACATCTTTCTCATCTGATACTTCTGACCGGCTCTCTGCCTCAGCACTTTTTTGAGCTTTAGAAAATGGTCATTCAGAAGCCTACATCAGAGATCCCTATGTCGTTAGTCTTGGTAACCACTGGTGTTCGTCAGAGATCTCGACCTCCGCCCCGGAGACTGCCCATTGAAAGCCGTCTGTCTTGGTGTCCCGATCAATTGGTCGGTTTACCCATATTCATTACCACTAGCCGTAGTCAGTTCTGCATATACTGCCCTGAAGCACAACACTTGGTCACAGATGCTCTTCGCCAAAATGCAGTACTTGCATAGGCGGCCAGAACACATTAATTGTCGCGCGCCCCGCCCGCAGATCCAACAATTGACCGGAGATAAACACGGTCATTCGAAGGGGACAGTACGCAAACTCGAGTCATGATGAAAACTTTCAACCGTAAGCTGTAACTATACTGCTACTCAGGTCGTTTAAGATAAGGCTAGTGACTTAGTACGCATTTTTAGGTCTATTCGACGTCCCCCGCAAGTATGACGTAGCTGCCTGGCGATTGAGAATGTTGAGCCAAACCTCATGCCTGCAGACCTGCCCGAAAATAAATCTATTATGTCCATGCGGTCGTGTGTGATACGAAAGTCGTCGCGCCGCTATTTGGATAATCGGTATCCAGTTCTCTCCCATTTTCACTCGCGGGGCTGCAGATTCGATTTTTTCTCGATAGACAAACCTAGGTTACTGAGGAACAAAGGGTCCGGAAAATGTTCCAACTCTTACAGTTTTCTTACTGCGTTCCTGTGAGCTCTACTTTTTCTATAACTAAATGCATTGGCGTCTTTCGATTCACTCTTGCTAGAAAGTTCACGCACCAAACTGAGCTAAGTGGACTACGTTTAGGCTTGGGCCTTGTCGGCCGACGACCACATATTCCGATGTTCGGCAGCCGCAATCATGCGGCAGAGTGCTCTTGGCACGGAATCGGATTTAGACGTGGGCAGTTTTATGCCGCACATCTGGCTGGTGTTCTCCAAGTCCCTGAGTAACTTATGACCGTCGTTCGGTACATGGGGACCGAATCGTGGTAGTCTTTTATTTGTTGACACCCCACCCGCAGATTCTGAGGTGTAGTAGGGATTCGGGATGAGGAGTGCAAGACCGGATCTACCTTTTCCAATCCTCGGTAGCCCCTTGTCAATCATGAATACGATCTGCTATCGGCCAGAAGGCGGATGCAGTTTCACATCCGTCTTTTTTGTGCATGTTATTTCTGTGGAGTGCCCTGTCTGCGGCCTCATGAAGAGGGTCGTCCTGGAGGAAGCTAATTGTATGTGGTTAGAACACTAAACGTTAACTGATAAAAGATAGGGCAGTGTTAAACTCCATAGGTTTTGTGTCGGGAAGCACATTTGATAAAAAGTTCATCCCAATTCTTTCGTGTGCAAAAAAGCGCAAACACCGCAATCGACGGCTACCTACATATCCATTCCAAAAAAGTGCCGACTGGCCATCGAGATATCTTCTATGTGCTGAATTTAGACTAAGACTTAGGAAATCCATTACAGACGCCACCTGAAAATCAAACTCGGGGGTTGCCAAGTTTACAGATAGGCATAATAATGTGACCTACCTTTGTCATGCGTCGAAGGCAACGGCGTTACTCCTATTGAAACGGAGTATGTTGGGTCAGACGGTCCGGTGTTACGGCATACCACTTGGTAGAGAGGGGTCGCACCTAAATGGCTCATCCGATAAGTTAAAGGACTGGGGGTCGGTACCGAGTGGTCTTTGGGTGTTGGCGGTCGAGAAGTACATGCAAGTAGCGGAGGTCGGTGTCTGGTTTGTCACGCGGTCGTGCTCACTTGTCTAAGGGATTCGGAAGAGAAACTAACTTTTGGTCGTTTCCTTGTCCTATTTGGTTCCAGGGTCCTAAATCGTACACGCTTGCACAGTCCGAGAGCTTGGTCCACTACTCCATCAAACCTTGCCAATACCCCGACCATGGTTGGCAAGATCGCTGAAAAGAGGTCAGCGGATATGGACATCGTACTAACTGTACATGCGGGACCAACGAGGTGCCCATCTAGGAAGGAGAGCGTCAACATTCTAGGTCAACGCCGGTGACAATGCTCATTTGCCTATGCTGCATTCAGCAGAATTCTCACAAAGGACGCCGCTAACTGTATACATTGGATAGTTATTCTTTTGCTGCGACTATCTCTGACGATGGACTCCTGCATGAGTCCGAAAGCTCAGGACAATAAACAAAATGTTCAGGTGCTCGAACCCTCTTCTTCTTCTTCTTCAGTTATGTCCTGTTTAGTGCGATGTATGTGTATTCCGGAGCTGACTATAGTTACTTAGGCATTGCAAACTTTTGCAAAAAAGGAGACACGATCGCTCGAACAAGAACTTTACTAGCCTGGCGTTTCGGATTCTCACTCGAGTCCATCATCAGAGACAGAGTCAGATAAGGCTGGTAAGTTGTCCAGGTGTTGCAGTATTTATAGGATGTAGTTATTAGATTGCAACATGTCTATCACAGTTGTCAGCTCCCGTGTGCATCACGGATCGACTGGCCACGTGTTGAAGCATGCAGTTACCATGTCCTTGTGTGCCGGTCAAAATTATCGATTCTCACGCTCATCGCACGCAGCCGAGTTGCTGACGGCCGGATTTCGTCATCCGTGTGGACTCTTGGGTAATTTGGCTCGCCGATATTGGCACCTGAAACAGTGGTCATCCGTACGCTGTCCTTGCGGCTAACCGGCGACCGGCACACAAGCGCATAGCAACTGCACGGTCACTGCATGTTTCAACACCTGGCCAGTCGAGCCGTGATGCATACGGGCGCTGTCAACTGCGATAGGCATGCAGCGGCCTAGCGACTACATCCTATAAATACTGCAACACCTGGGCAACTTACCAGTCTTATCTGCCTCTGATGATGGACTCGAGTGAGAATCCGAAACGTCAGACTAGTAAGGCCCTTGTCCCAGCGATCGTGTCTCCTTATTCGCGACTACTTCCTGAAACTCGCGTCTTCCCTTCTATGAGCAAATTGCCAACTTTTCTTGTCAGAATACATACGAGAAGGGCGTTGCAGAAGATGCGTTGGTGTCGAACGAGAAGATTAAATATTCTTCACCTAGGGCCAAAGTGTCGAATGTAAAATTCGCTTGAAGGGCAAATCACATTTGGTGATCAGACACCAATTCTCCTTGACATAATGACGATGGACTTAATGGTGGCCTAGTCAGCTTGAAGTCTGTCTCACCGAGTCTTCAGGAGTTGAGTACGTTTACGCACAATAGTCAGCGAAGCCTCGGACCCTAGGGCTGCGTTATTTTCCACAGATTCTGGATTATCGCATCACAGCTGACAAAGGCGTCTCGAAATGCTTGACTAAACACTGGAATAAAGTGCTCTTTAAGCTTTGTGGTAGGTCATCCTCGGATTTAGCGCCCTCGGATGATATATCCACGTCTACTAGGCAGGGACGTGTGAGTGCTCATCTACCAAATTGTGACTTCCGGTTCTTATGCATTCACACAAGACCTCACTGAATAGCCGGAATCGATCGCCGGTCGGCCTATGTCAAAGTGGTCATCCAGGAGCCATGTCGGCCACTGTCTTCGGGATCGTCCTTCTCCCCTTCCGAGCGGAATAATTTCATGGGTCATCTCTAGGATAAGTACTATGCCCCAAGGAATATGCTTAGGACCTAGTAAGCGAGGACAATGCCATGATTCTTCTGGTCTCCGCCGACATCTGAAATCGAATGAATTGAAAATGCATGGGAACAAAAACTTCTGCATATGGGTTGCCAAGGAGGTTTGATTGAGACGGAGGTGTAGGCGTGGCTAACCGGAAGTGGTTTGAATTACCATAACTGCTTTTTGGTTCGGGCCTCATAATGTTTGTTCTAAGACCAGGGGCAACCTCACACGTCTTTGATCTCCTCCGCGGAGCTTCGCATGCTGCTATTGCGTCTTATTCGTCTATTACATTGCTTTAAAGATAAACAGTGCTGGGAATCGATGCAACTAGAAGCATCTCTTAGTTGACCAATACCTTGGATTTCTTTCAACGATTCCGTTGGACTGAAAAGAGCCTTAATTTGTCGATAAGAAATTATAAGGTCGTTATTATAGCCACACACAGGAGCTGGTAGTCACGCAAAAGTGAAACAGCAACATTCAGCAATTGAGTTGACAAGATCCAATGCCAAAAATGGTCCCGAGGAGGAATGACCGAATATAGGTGTAATTAGGACTAACATCAGTTCACGTGTCGGCTGTAATTGTATCAAGCCTGGAGCTACAGCATCGAGTTTTTGGCGGTGTCGAAGCGCGTGGACTGCCGTCTACTGGCCAACAACCGAGTCACGCCTCAAATGAACCTTGGGTACCCCACATACCCCCCAATGCATATAAGCGCCAAGCGAAGTTTTACGTAGGACGGTTTTATGCGGGACGTGCGGCCCTTTTGCCTCGAAGAATATTCAAAAAATATCTTTCGTGTGGGAATTTTTCCCGAATGTAGACATATTACAAACGGCGGAGGTGACCCCGTGGTCAAAAATAGCACTTTTGGCGCTCCGATCATAGAATGTTTCAGGAACTGAGTAAAAATAGTCACTCCAGCCTCTGTTTTTGTAGATACCCACCTATCTGTTTATGATACTAGTAGACATTCGACTGACTGCGATGGCTGTAGATTGAGCTTCATTACAACGACACGAGCGCGTCCCCTAACCTAGTAGAGGGACGCTCACCAATTGCGCTACGGGACTCACTTCCCCCGTTGTGTCTTGGGCCTCTCTTTCGAGCCCCGCCAACGGCCGGACAGCGACGTGTAACATAGGCAAAGTAGCGTGACCGGCGAAGACAAGGGAGACTGGAATGGCCAGCCATACCCAACATATATCGCGTGTATCATTGCCTAACAAGATGAGGAAGGAAAGGCGGTTGCATAAACCAAGCATTCACAGTGAAATTTCAGGAACTCTTATTTGCATCATCAGAATAATTCGCTTGCTTTTCCTGCCAGACATGATTTGTCCAACCTTGCCGCCTGCTTCGTATGATTGCCATTCGACTCACGTGCTTTGGCCCGCCCATTGGCTGGTTCTGACCTCTGATTTCGATCACTGGCAGACTTGCGTCCTCTTCGCGGCTGTCGTGGTTTCCGCTAAGGCATTTTGCTTGCTGGCCTTCCCCATTAGATGGTGGACTGGTCGATTGTCGCTGCTCATGCGTGGCGCTTTCGGTCTCGCTGGCGCCTTGGTGAGTGTCCCACGCTGGTCATATTACTTCCGGTCGGCTCCTTTTCTTCGCGAACGTCGCCTGTCGGCCCCGCGTGACACCTCGCCCGTCCTATTAACCCTGTCTGAACCGACTCGAGCCTTGTGCGGAGTGCCTGGTAGTGGGGATATAGGTCTATCCCTCGAGTAATTGTGCTTGTCGAGGACCAACTTTTCAGCATCAGTCTGTCCATCTTATCGTTGGTTCGGGTGATCAGCCTCACTTTCACAAAGGTAAAACTGGTTCTGCTGTTGTATGTGGCCACAGACCAGCGGCAGCTTATCCTTGTGGTTGACTGCAAGCTGGTGCTCGCGCAATCTTATGCCGAGGAAAAACCGCAGTCGATTACGTATGTGGAGACTTCAAGACTCCTGAAACTTTTAGAGATTAGCGTGGCCCATAAACCTGCATCAACAGATGGCAAGTCATGAAGTACGGGTACCTGCTACCAGTGCCAGAGCAATCATCAGTGGTCCACGGCATGCCATGCCAAGATTGTGATGCAAGGTATGTTGCTGTAACGGGTGAATATCTCGGCACAACCTGGTCCTCCAAATGCGTACACCAGGATTATGCACAAAAAGGGCAAGCGTCTCGGATCTCACATGTGTGAGAGAATGCCAATAACAAGGAGCCATCGTAGTCTGACTCTCAGCCCACGAGTCGTCCACTCAACTCACAAAAGACCGGGTTTGAGTTGAAGTGTCAGTCGGCAACCTTCCAAGTTACCGCTTCTAGTGCACCGTGATAGGTTCAACCGCGTCTGTTTCTTTATTACGACGAATTATGCACTGAGAGTCGGCTTCACCCACTCTGCCCTATGCCGTACACCAGTCCACTGTGTGAGCTGGTCAACCGGCTGGTGCTGAGACTGGAGGAAGTGGCTGGTGGAGCTGAAAACAGCTCGTCTGCATGTGTCAACACAACCTGGCTCACGAAAGCACACACAAGGGGGTAGACCGCTCGAATCTCACATTCAGCGTTAGAAATACATGTGAAAAGGAACCGTAAATCACACTTCCAACTTACTTGAGAGGTGCCGGTGATGCAAGATATTGGAGGCATGTATGCATGGTGCCTGTATTGATAGGAGATCGTATGGTGGTGTGATCGTGTCTGCGATGATTTGCCGCAGATTTTCATGAATGCGCATGTGACCAACTAGGCCTATACGATGGCTGAGTGTGCGAGGGAACTTGGCAATTGAGGCGACGGCACTTGCTGTATGCTGGTGCTGTAGGCACTGGCTCAACAGTCTCTGTGCAATGGATTCGTAAGGGACCCACCAGGCTGTTCCAATGATCGTATCGTCTTCTTCTGAAGACTGGGGAACGTTGGGTCGATTGTCGTTGTGGTGTTGCCAGTGTATGGTGCACTGGTCGATGTGGATTGATTGGGCCGGGGATAGGAGGTTAGTGGATGCCCAAGGTGTGTTAGGCGTGTCGACACTGTGGTAAATTCCGCTGTTGTTTATACTCATGTGACAGAATAGGCCAATGCAGTGCATGGATGTGCGTGAACAGTATGAACAGTAAAGGCGCATGCGGCGAGTGTATGTGGGGACTCCTGGTACTGGTGAGCCAGTCGCAGTATGAAGGAATCGCAAGCAACAGGTCTGGCCAATGTTTCAGGTAAATGTGTAATCACAATGAGGACAAGTTAGCACCGAATCCACAGAGATGAAGGTAAGGGTGGTGGTTGGTGGACTGTCGGGAGCGTTTTGTTTGGTGGTGAGAGTGGGAGCTGTGGCGGTCGCCGTCGTCGCCGCAGAGGTTGTGGCAGGGATTATGATGATTGCGATGATCGACGGCGGCGGAACGCGGGAACGGTGGGCGTTGGTGGTGAGGACGGTAGTCGTAGTGGATGCCATGGAGGTTTGAGGAGGGGTGGTCGAAGAGGCAGTGGTTGGGTTTGCTGGGCTGGTGTTTTGAGTCCAGAGATGTCCAACGAGGCCGTTTCGCATGGGGAAGGTTTGTTGACAGAGTCGACATGTTGGGAAGGGTTGGAGGTTGGCGTTGTGGGTCAGGGGTGCCTGAGACTTGTGAGTTTTCCTCTTGACTTCGGCAGCGGTGATTTTGTGGGCCTCAGATATGGCTGTTCCAGTCTTCATTGCTCTTCTGTAGGCTGTTCAGTTCTGTACGGGGTCTTTCGAAGTATTCGAGTTTATCTGTATCCGCTCCATGAGATTTTTCAGGATGTCCTTGCAACAGCGGGCTTGGTCTCCTTGTCAGCGAGCAGCCGTGGCGACATATGCGTAGGTTTGTTTTGGTGGGCGAGCGTCGTCCGTCCTCACATGGTGGCCAATCCCTCGTATTTGCAGTTACGTCAGAATGGCGTGGATGCTAAGGATTCCAGCCCGTTCGAAATCTGTGTCAGGGATCCTGTCCTACCACCTCAGTTTTCGTGTCCGTTGGAGGTGGCACTGATTGTGTTTCCGCGCTTGTTTCCCGTAGACTGTCGAGGTCTGCGTAGCGTGCAGCAGCGTCTTCAAGATGACCTCTTTTTACATCTTCAGTTTGATGTTCAGGCGGAGGCCGTGGAGGTTACATAAGGAGTTCTGTAGTAGCCCTCCTCCGAGCGCCTGTCTCAACGCTGGGCCTCTCGCGAGTGTTTGCACATTCGCACCAGGGCTGGCTGGTATTCGCCGACTCGGCTTTCCAACCAACAAATCAGATTCAAGGCCGAGTCAGACGTGACCTGTCTTAAAACGCTTTGACGCATTCCCTGATACACACGTGCGACGCCGCTCACCCGGCGCCGGGCGTGCCATCGTCCGGCTTCCAACTCCTCCAGTTATTCTGTACAGAATATA